ATATAATAAAACTATATAAGTTACTTTGAATTTAACATGCATAATTAGTATTTACTTAAACAATAATCGTACAAATAGTATAAATTATATAGTAGCAATAAATTAATTTAGTTAAAAACTTACATAAGTGATGTTGACTTATAAGCTTAAAAGAGTCATAAATATAGTATGTACAGCATTGGTCTTCATCAAATAATTATTGTTTCATTTATTCAGTTTTGTGTTTCATAGACATACAGTAATACATTATATATCCACTGACCACATATCATCGTACAACATTCCAGGTTATTTTTAGTATTGACATACAGTAGTTATAAGGAAATCAGTAGGAAACATCTATGCTGTTTGGAATGGAAATAGAAGTAGATATGTAATGAGCAAAATACATTAATACCGGTTTTATAAGCATACAGGGATTATACACACACTATCAGGCAGAGCAATCCACTTCATGAATATTCATAAACTGAAGTTAGTTAAATACTTAAATAAACATCAGGTGAAATCTAGTCATTCTTTAAAGAAGTCCACTACCTCGCTGACATTGGTGGTGCTATCTTCAAGCCAAGCAAGTAGCAGCTGACCTAGTTAAGGTAAGCCAAGCAAATGCTCAAGGATTTGCCTACTTACTGTTATTAGCTCTGAGAATCCATACTTAACAACATACAGGTGAATTCTCACTGTTGACAATAGGGTGTCTATTTTAAGTTTCATTGATATTATTTTTGCTAATCTTAAATAAACAAGATTTTTTTTCCACTCAAAATTTTAATTCTTTCTATCCTAGGATTTCCATCCTGCTACTTTTTAGAGCTCATCTACAGTACAAATTTAATGAATTTACGTAAACTATTAAAAAAACCATTTAAAATCTTGATTAACTGTGTCCTGTACAATATTTGTTGATTTAAAAGGGTCACATGTTATACATTTTACAGAAAAATTAATGGGATGAAATATACTTCACAATACGCTACAGTATTAAATATGATACATACCAGAGTAAGTAATGTACATGGTAGCAATGTGGACGTTGCGAACACACGCGTAACATACACTGTCGCTGTGCAGAGTAGGTGTTTAAGCCACAAGTGTTAGAAAGCTTTTGGAGGGCTTAACGTTGACCTTCTAAAGCTGCAGTATGGGCTAATTGAGAATAGACAATCAAAGAAACTAGCGAGATATAAGTAAATGGCAACAGTTTTAGAGTCGCGAGCTATTTATAGTCACAAATTCAGTAGAACTAATATGAGTATAGTACTGTAGCAATTAGTAACACAGTACAAGATCGACTAATAGTACTACACCAGTAGTAATTTCAGTGTTTCTCTTTTATAACAGAGGCACAACTATGAGAGTGTCCAACAACAAAAATCACTAAAAACTTAATTCATGCGATAAATAAAACATGAAAAGTATGAATAATAATATAAAATGAGTAAATAAATAAAAATTAAATAATAAATAAAATATGTATAAATACATAAAGAGTAAGATAACATTTATATATTTAAATGACATTAACTTAAGAAAATAAATAAAAAGCAAAAAAATAATAAAACAAAACAAAAAACATATTAGTCATGTAATAGAAAAGTATTATATTTCATTTTGTTCTTTCCATGCAGTAGTTAAAAATAATTTACAATGTTTATCTAAAACTTTACTTGTTACTGTATACTGGAACAGGTACAATAGTTTTAGTAGCATAGTAGTAGTAAATTAGGTGGTAAATATTATCCATAATTTTTCCAAAGTATTTAAGGTATGGTATTTTTCATCCAAAATGTGTTGCCTTTTTGATGATAAAAATGGGACTAGAGGATGTAGGATAAATACTGAATTAAAATCTTAAAATATCACTTTTAATCTGTATAATCCCAAGTGAAACTAAATATAGAATGACCTTGGTTTTGGTATTTATTATCCAACTAATCGAATACCAAATACACGTATATTAAAAATAGCATTTTGACAACAAAAAAATTCCTAATGCATTCTCGGTTGACTTATCGTTTTAATATTAAACTCTTTATTAAATATTAAATGAAAATTCTACAAATTATTACAATCTTCAGACATGTATACTACATGAATTGTTTAAATAATAATATATATTGAACTAATAAACTTGAAAAATAAAATTTCATAATTGAATTTACATCGATACGGTACAGTATTACAACACTCATGCAATAGTATTAATATAAATATAAATACAGTAATACCAATGAAAGGTGCTATTAATTCAGAAATTAAAGTACTATTTTATGTTAACAACATTAGTTCATTTGTTGTTACTGTTTATTATTATATTATAACTCATTATAACATAACAAATCTATGCTCTATGCTAGAGCGTAGTACCTAATTCCCTTTTTAAACCCCATAATAACCATCAGAGAGCTTTCTTTTACTAGTATCAAAATTAGAAGATTAGCCCATTTTTTTATTTCTAGTTTTAGACAGCAAATAGAATGTCAGATCATAATCAGATTCAACATTTCAAACTTTGATTCTACCAAAAAGTAGGTCAGGCAAATTATCAAGATACAAACATAAACACTATTTTGGGGGATCGGTCGCTACGTGGGTGTATACTTTTAGTGCAATAGTAATAGGTTGATAATTCTTTTTTTAGTGACACAACATTTTGTATGTGATTCATACTAAACAATACAGTCAAATGTTAAGTAGATTATGACAATGACAGATGAATACTTAAGTATAACAAAGTCTTGTTCAAGCCAGATGCATGTGAATCAAAGACAAACTTTTACTGAATATCCAAATACATATCATAATTTAGGAATTTAATTTCAATAGTAGTCGAACTCCAGAATGACGGTTTAAGACAGTTGCCTCCTAATCAAGTAAAAACCTCAGAATTTTTTTTTTCTCATGAATAAAAAAATCTCCAATCTTTAAATCTCATAATGATACTAAGTAGAACATTAGACAGTTTAATTTTTTGATGTAAATCTGTTGGATCAATCAACTGAACAACCAATCAATCAATATATCAATCAATTAACCAATCAATTATAGGTATAAATAGTGAAATTATATGTTCAAAGGTATTTTGACAACATATTCTGTACATGTTAATTAAATTAATCAGTCAATCCCGCCTTGAAGTTTTCCACCCAGTCTAAAGCTAATTTCATGGCCTTCCACCCACCCTTATTAACCCATTTTTCCATCCTTAAAATCCACTCATATTATCTAGAGTTTACCAATTTTATCACGCACCCACCCTCAAAATATCTATTCCCACCATTAGTTTTCATTTGCTACAACCCTGTCAATCAATAAGTATCTTCAGTCCTTATTTTACAATAGTACAAAAATATACCAAAAGCTTTTTTAAAATCTCCCCCTTTTGTATTGATGCCCAAATAAAAAAAAATATCAAAAATATTTCTTGGAGTCCAGAGAAATTGCTATTTTAGTTGAAAATATAGTGAGTATTGCCAGTTACAAACTCTTATCTTTTTTTTTTTTTTTTTTTACAATTTAGGCCAAACAAACAAAAAACATGCGTCTTATTAGGGATTTTTGAGATCTTTAAATACAAAAAAAAAATTATATTTAATGTTTTCCCTTCACATACACATAGAACATACACATATGCCAAGCCTATACACCAGTGAAAGTTTATGGCTTAAGAGGATGTGTGGATTATAAATCTGTGTATTTTGTGCTAAGTGAAAGTTTAAAAAAAGGAGGCAACAAAAAAGATATGAGATAGTACAAGAAACATTTTTTTGTTTATATTTGGCCATATTGTACTTGAATGTAATCTAGTCAATTTCCACACTTAAGTAGAAGACTGACAGACCAAACGCATGGTTGGCGCAAGCCAGTGCCAACAGTCAACAAAAATAGAGAAAACAAGCAGATCTGTGGCTGGCAATGTTAAAGATCCACCTCACTGACTATGTAGTAAATTGATGGGTGTAACTGACGACCTGTTTTCCTTTATCTAGTTTATTTGATAACATCCTCATCAAAAGTGATTCAGCTGACGGTTCCCCTCTGCGTCCTAGTTTTTCATCCACCTGAATGCTTTAACTGCCTATTGTTCAAACTATAGATTTAATCAGCAGAGTGACCGGAAAAGTATTTCAGAAACTGTTTACTCTGTAATAACTGACGCTTATGCATCATGATTTTACTGCCGATTCCTTTATCTACAGTTCACGCTTCAAACAACTGGTCAGCTTGGTAGGAAACTATAGCCCTGAAACCTATGGTCATGATCACTCAGGCAGATTTAATTCATTTTTTACATCAGTGGCATCAATCAAATGGCCATTGAATTTTATTTCTGATGTCAAATTTAATTCCAGGGTATAGTTGGAAGTGACCCGGACAAATAAATTTATTTAAATGCATTGAGAACTAGGGCATTTACCTATTAATCCAAAATTCAGCAGAATTCCCATTTAAGAAAAATATTTTTTAATAACTAATTACTCTTTCACAATACTATATTTTTGAAACAAAATACTTAAATTAATTACATGACAATATATCTGCCAAACTAGTGATTTTAATGACTTTTAATTTATTTTAATGTTAAAAAATGTATTAAACTATGAAATAATATAACACTAAGATTTATATAGTGTACCTTTTCCGAAAAATGATCAAGATACTTGATAGAAAAAGGAGCACCAGTTAACTGTACTGTACTGTAGTTTTTATGAAAATTTTATCATCCAATACGCCATTATATTTCCTATCAAGAATGGGAAGCCATAACTATTGTTATCAGGTACAATTTATTCCCAGAAGGAAAAAAAAAAATCAAGGTTAAACAAATAGTCAGAGAAAACCCCTCCTAGTACACCAATTCTAAACGATAGATTGCCAAAATATACGTCTATAACATAACACACAATGTAGCAACCTTGATTGAAGGTCATGTCCCAAATAAAGGCTTAGATTATCCATACAGAAAAATACAGATCTGGGTTACAGTTAGGGTAGCCAGATAAAGGTGTAAGGACTTAACAGCCAGTAGGAGGGCAGTAAAATGCATGTCATAAATAGGTGTCCACGTAGTGATTGGGTGGTTGGCTGGCTGTGGTTGCTAAGTAGGCTATGGCCCAGTTTGGGATCACAATATGACAGCATATAAGGGTTCGCTCAAGTGTCAGCCAGCAATCAGAGCTCAAGAAGGGTGTCAAAGAGGTTATTGGATAGAGTACCCTACGTTAAATCGGAGCAGCTTTTCTGACACAGCCATACAACGTCAGTACACTAAAGTCAACCATAGGTAACAGTCGTCTTTACTTACGAAGACATTGGACAGTGATTAAAAAAAAAAACACCAACTGATTTAGCTCTAATGGAACTTAATCAACTTTGATTTTGTACATAAACAAAGTACATCTAGACGTAAGTTTGTATTTTTTATGTACTATTCTGTAGGCTATGCATAAGTTACATTTTTGTTTGTAATTCTGCCTAATTATATAACAAGTTTAATTATTACTATAATACTCTTTACTTTACCAAAATTACAAGGAATATATATCTACTTTTTCTTAAAATTCTACAAATTTGAGTATTCTTTTTTTTTATCTGTTCCTAAAAGAAAAAAATATTACAGGAAATGTTTAATTTATAATGAGAAAAGTTTACTTCTAAAGTCAATTTTATCCAAATTTTAAGATAAATACTTCATGTCTTGCCACCTCTATCTTGTAAAATTTAATGTCTAAATATAGATCAAAATATGGTTATTGCTAATACTTTTCACTTTAAAGCAGTGCGGCACTCAGGGGATTCTTAAATTGATACCTACTTAAAGAGAATTAAAGATTATTTAAAATTTCTATTAACATAGACTTTCTAAGTTCATTTATTTCCTGAGTTTTCATATCAAAAAATTGTAGGCTATTTCGAAAGTTATGGATTTGCTCCAAGTTTACAATAATAAAAATTGTGGATGATGGGAAAAAAGTGATACAATAATAACTGTGATAATTACTTAATACATTAATTTATCTTTAGTTAAGATACATTACAAAATATCATTTGAATTGGGTTCCTTGTTATAAGTTAAAATTTATAAGTGAATTTTTCATGTAGTATAATTTGATTTTAAGTTTTAGGTACATCTAGACGTAAGTTTATTCATCAACATTGACAGCCTGTGGGATTTATTGTATTGTATAGCCTACCTACTGTATATGATATGATATTCCAAGATCGTTAAGAAAATAAATTTATTTGTAGGATTTGAATTTGAGAATGGAGAGCCCTTCACAATATTTTAGTTTGTCACTGAATTTAAACATCATGTAGCTCAGTTTATATTCCAAAACATATATCTACCATCATATGAACGTTACTCACTCCACTAAATACCGTCACTGTCACAATCTTTACAAAGATATATTATAATAATGTTGTTATTATTATCATTATTATTATTATTATTATTATTATTATTATTATTATTATTATTATTGTTATTATTATTATTATTATTATACTAATTTAGATATAGGGCCTATCTAACTATATCTAAAACAATTGGCATAACATTGTTAAGTAAGTGCAGTAATTGGTTTTGAGGAAATATTAGACAAGTATTTCAACTCCAAACACCCAAATTTCTCTTGTATCACTGTAAACATTTACTTTAGTTGAGTTTTTCCTTACACTGTATGTCATACTCTTATCTATTGTTTTACAATAATAAACTAAACTTCATGATTTGGAATTTTTTCTGCTGCCATAAAAACCCAAATTCTGAATGAGACCAAGCATAAAAAAACTTAGCAAGAATTATTTAACGATATTGACACAGTCTACATATTGTATTTCATCCATGAAATATATCTAATTAATTTGATTATAATGATTCAATAATGAAATCAATTTGTATGAAATGACCGTGGGGTAATTTCTGAAGTAGCCGAAGGCGCAAAACCTGAAAGGGTAACATGATTTGGAAGTGACAGTGTAGCATCACTAAATCAATCACCAATCCGCCTTACACTGTCCGGTCTGTGTCAAAAAAAATTAATTTCCTGATGACGGAAAAGTACTCAATCTGATGAGAGATGAGACATTATTTCCTAATTACCTTCATGGGTAGAAGCCATCTTAACAAGGACACTACCCTAAATACTATCTGTTGAACAGTTGTTTACGACATATTAAACTCAGATGCACTGAATAGTAAAAATCTCAACCACACTGGAATGCAAATTCTTCGAAAGCTTCTTTATCAAACCCTATCATTTTTTAGCACCGATTCTTCGAAAGTTTTACTACAATGATATAAAAAATAATAAATAGTGAAGTTTTAAATACAGTAGCGTTGTATCCATCAAAAAAGATGCTCAGGACGCTTGATGCGTGGACTAGGAACTCGATCAATGACTTTATTCGCCCCAAAGGGTCATTTTGTGTGTGTGCTCCCCAGTAACCCGGTACCAGCTACTCTTGTCGTCCACCACAGGGGCTGTCTGTTCCAGTACACCGGGGTATTCCCCTACTCATCTCGAATGATGTACTAGGTTCTTTACAGTGCACACGAGCCATTGTATACACTGGGCATTTATAGTCCTTATCCAAGAAAACTTGTTCTACCACCAAAACCAGAGGCAAGTGTGCCGTTTGAACCAGCGCCGATATTATGGCTGTAGGTTGCGTCGCCCATGCTAACCGTTTGGCCATTCAACTCACCTAATTAATGTGTCAAAAACATTGTTGACAACTCTTTAACAAAAAATTAGCACATGATAGCATCCTGACTAGGTCCAATAGAGAATAAATCAGTGAAAGTCAATGACACCAAACACAATTCTTTAGTGTTGAAAAAATAATTATACTCAAAATGGTAGAACATAAATAAACATTCCTTTGGTAGAAAAGCATTAATCAAACGATGAGAATACTTACATAAAGAATCTAATTAGAAAGATTAAGAAGACACTGTAAAGGGAAATCGAATTATGCTTTGAAAATTATCAAAGCATAATTAGTTGTCAGTTTATATGGTTTTACACAAAAAAAAAGTATTAAATTTACTAAATAAGTCATTAAATTTTAATGTAATTTCATACAAAAATGATGATTCATTACTTAATTAAGAGGCACATAAAACTTACAAAATTAGAAAACATGTATTTGTACTACTTACTTTAAAACTAAACATTTTCCAAAACTTTTAAAAAGTTTTTGGACACTAGAGGGCAGCAGACACTTATTTTGGTTAGCACAATTATTAATATTGTTACTATGAATATGAATGTTTTTTTATAAACAAACTAAAAATTAGAGAAATCACATTAATTTTTTCTTTAAAAACATAACCTAAAAATGTATTCATCATTAAACTTTCATAATATAGGTAACTTCTATAGTAACTCTGGAAAGTTTAAGCATTATTATATACTTATTATTACTATATTATTTGTATTCCAAAATACAAATAAATTTGTTTCTTGATAAGTTGCATTGCTCATTTATAAAGGATCAATTAAATTTTAAAATTTTAATAAGACATAGCATTCAAAAATTCAGTTTTTGCTGATGTATAGTATTTTTGCTAAACAACCCTTATATTAAGGCAAGTTAAGGATTAATGTGCAAAGAATAATATAATTTATACGTTCTAATTATTGGAAAGGAAACTATTTTGATGCTAATTAATTATTGAAACAAACTTAAATATAAAAAATTAGCAGTTCAAATTTATGTTTAACTTTTTGAACTTCCAGCAGATAGTATATTATCTATAATTTACGATGAAGTAAAGAATAAAGTTTTACAACAAAAGAGGGCAGCAAACAGATATTATCATAATTGCTTTTTAGCTAGAATTCACATTCATCTGACAAATTTATACATACAGTAAAGTATACTTCTGGGTTATATTTTTAATGGAAATGCAATGTAAAAACAGCTAATTGGGTGCAAACTATTAACATTTTGTTTTTATTAAGAAATATATATATGTACTTATTCTTACAGAATTAGTTGGATAAAGTACTATTACTTCACAGAATCTGCCAAAATCATGATGATTATTGCCGCATCTGTTTGCGGTTCAGCACTCTGTGCTATGTACTACCTGAAGGAACAGTACGACTACAACATCCGGAGGTTACCACCAGGACCATCCTCCTTCCCGATCATTGGGAATGCTCTCAGTATTAGCATGAAAAATCCGCACTTAAGTATGATAGCTCTGGCGAAGAGATACGGAGACATTTTCAGTTTCAAACTGGGATCGAAACGAGTTGTAGTTCTGAACAGTGCTGATGTAATTAAGGAAGCGTACAGTGGGATTGAAATCTGTAATCGACCGCAGATTTACTCCCTAGAGTTTCTTGTCAACGGCAAAGGATTTATGACGTGTACAGACCATAAACAATGGAAACTTCATATGATGCTATGCAAGAACGCTATGAGAGTGATTAACAACACAAGCCTTGGAAACAAAATCACAACAGAGACAATGTCATTGGTAAAACAATTTGCAAGTCACAACTCAAAGCCTTTCAATCCAAAAGAGGACTTACATTTAGCTTCCTTGAACATTCTATGCAATCTGGTGTTTGGAGAGCGGTACGAGCGCGGCGATGAAGAACTAACAGAAATTTTGGACTATTCAGCGGAGATAATGAAAGTTATCTCGCCTATACATCCGGTAAATGCACTGCCGTGGCTCCGACACTTTCCCAACAAATGGTTTGATGCGCTCTTCAAAGCCAAGGACAAGCGTGATAAAATCCTTATGAAGAAATACATCCAGCATTTTGCAACATTTGACGAGGACAACATCCGTGATATGTTGGATGCACTCCTGATGGCAACAAAGGAAGCAACACGGAATGAAGATAATGACTCGCTTAATCTCTTGACACCGGAACATGTCATCATCAACATGTGGCTTATCTTCTTCGCAGGTAATCAAATTAATATTATTCAAAATTCAACTTACACGTAATATATTAAGCTCTATATAGTGAGAGAGCAGCTTGCTAAACTGTAACACAATACTGGGTCAGGTTGTTAATATTGTAATATGATTGGGCTTTTTCAGGAACAGACACAACTGCTAACACTCTGTTATGGGCATTATTGTACATGGCAGCATTTCCTAAGAAACAAGCTTTGATTCATGATGAACTAGATAGAATTGTTGGACCAAATGGACAACTCAACTTGGAGCATAGACAAGATATGCCATATTTGGGTAAGACCACCATAAGAAAAATATCTTATAAACTTACTAAAAACAAGTACACATAGGTAGAATGATGAGGATGAAGAAAGTGATGGTGATGATGATGATGATTAAGATGATAATAAAGATGGTGATAAAGATGACAAAGATGATAATGATGATGCTGATGATAATGTTGAGATGATGATGATGATTAAGATAAGGGAGATGTGGATAATGATGAGGATGATGTACTTTACAATAATCACCACAAAATTTGACAACAGTGATTTTGATAATGATTATGAGATTTGTGATTATGATCACAGTTGTCATGGTGAGGATATAAACAATGCACATTGTGATTGACACTATTTGAACACAATGTACTAAGTATGCTTAGGAGATATATGCTTAGTTTTTGCTTTGTTCTAAGAGCATGATCTGCTTGAAATGACACTTGGTTAGAATGCTAATGAACTTGTAACCCTACTGTAACTCTACTACTTTTAAATGTTTCTCTAATTGTTTTGGCTGCTTGTGTATCTTCAAATCTGCATTGAATAATTTCCATTTTTTTTCAGTGTACTCTATAATATATATTGTACTTGGAAAAATTAAATGTCATACCCTGTCATTTACTAAAATAATTAATTGAAACTCTATGGTAGTTCATTAATTCAGAATTATCTGTAAATTGTCATTCAGAATCTAAATTGTATAAATGACTGCTGTTAACCTGATTAATCCTTTAAATGTTTCATTAACATCCCTCAAACAACTGAAATATACTTTTTTGATACTATTTAACGGAAAATTTATAATTAACAATTAAATCTTGACAGTAATGTACACTAACTTGTCAAATCAAGATACTAACTTGTGAGGTACTATCAACAATGTACTGACATGTGCAAACCATAATGACACTAACTTGTGCAGAACAGTTTAATTATTTGTAGCATAATTAGCATGGCTTGCTATTGTGTACTGTAGCCTGACATTCTCTCTATGTGATGTTTGTTATCTCCTTCCAAAACTTTGCAGAAGCTACAGTCTATGAGATTCTTCGCTACAGTTCCCTCACTATATTGGGAGTTCCGCACGCTGCCGCAAGAGATACAAACGTTAGAGGATTTCACATACCAAAAGGTGGGAATAAATCAGTTCATTCCTGCTAACAACACTAACCACAATGTTTACGAATTTCTATCCCACAGAGGCAACAATATTGGAATGCTTTCGAGCAACCATCGAGTTCGGCATTCCACATGCAGCTTCACAGAACACAATTCTCAGGGGTTATTACATACCCAAAGGTAGATGAGAACAAACCGTGACCTCTCTTGTACACCTCTGAATATCTTGTGTGTCATCTTTGCAAATACTTTTAGCTTGTAATGTGTTATTGTTGTTGGTATTTTTTCTCTCAGAATGCACTTTCCTATGGTTTTATACAAACAGTCTTCGTGATGTCATGACCTTTATTTATATCAAATCACAATCATTATTACGCCTTGAATTCATTATATATTATCATAATTCATAATTATTATACAGGTTTGTATGTTTATGTGACTCATGTAAAGCTGACTGTTTATAGTGTAGAATAACATCCACATTTGCAATATCCAGCCTGGGTTTCTATCATCATACATCATTAACATGTAGAATTATTTGTAGTATTCAAGTAGAAAGAGACTTTTTACAGCATGGGGTAGCTGATCTAACTGTTGTCTGATCTCAATTTGCACGTCTGGCTACTGTGAAGGACACAACTGTACTATCATACATACAGTTTTATTACTTTCTACTACTCACGACATATTTCTACTGCATGTATAGTTTCAGATCTATGTTTATTTTATGTATCGTCTTCATCAATATTATTCAGTACTGTTTAGAATTGAGAATCACAATAGCTTGGTGGTTAAAGTGCTGTCATTTCAATTCCAGGGACCTTGGTTCAAATCATACAAGGGCCAGGATTGTTTTTCTCAGTTAACAACTTGAACCACCAGCCTTACTATTAACAATATTTAATCTGGCCTGACTGTACACTATCAGATTAAAAAATGTTTGATCACATTTTTGTCTGATTAAACAAAACTACTGTCTAATATCTGTCAGACATGGAGTCATAATTTGTTTTCATATTTACTAACATCTATAAAGAACTTTCAGTCAGTGCAGCACTACTTTCCAAAGCCATTAAAACAATTTGAATGAGGCTAATGAAAATAATTACAAGTTAAGAAAAGAGTAATTAATTAGAGAATAGTTGTTTGACCAAGCATGCACTGTCACACTAAGTCTAATCCAAAATTATATGAAGCTGGACACACACTGTTCCTACTTTACAGTGTGAGATACTTCTTGTTGTATAAGAATTAAAGCCAACAAAAAAAACTTGTTCCAATTTTTGTTCCCAAGATTTTATACAAGAAAGGTGTTATGCAGTAACATCTGAAAAAAAATTATCCAGAAAATAACACAGAATCAATATTTATCACTCTCTTTAGGTACGCAAGTGATGGCGAACATATGGGCTGTTCACCACGATGAAGAGGCCTGGGATAGGCCGCATGAATTTCTTCCAGAAAGATTCTTGAACAGCGAGGGCAAGATGAAGAAGCCATCTGAATTCCCACACTTCATGCCATTTTCAACTGGCAGACGTATCTGCATCGGAAAGAACATCGCGAAGTGTGAGCTCTTTCTCCTGATTGGAAATTTACTACAAGCGTATACGTTCCGGATGCCAGACAACGTCGAGCCGGACTTGGAGGGAGAGGTTACATTCTCGTTAGTCCCAAAACCGTACGATATCGTGGCAGAACCACGAAGCAAACCAGAGCATTAGGGAGATATTAGAACTTAATAAACTATGGTGTGTTTATGGGACTTCTGAAACATACATCAAGGAACTTAATAACTTCTTTATACATAGTAAATAAGATTTGTAAGTACAGTACAGTATGTTACCAGATATTCATCACCATAGCAACATCATCAAAGAAATCAATAAATATTGATATTTTTATAAAGCCTATATATTAAAACATGTTAATAAACAAATTATAGTATAAATAATTATCAAAAATCAGATTTTTACAGTAATTTAATTAAATTAACAGAGATTTGAAAGACACAATGCTTCCCCTACCTTGATTCAAGCACCTTGTTAGTTAGGTCAAAGGTCATCAATGTAATGATGGAAGGCCAAGCCTAATATCATGTTACATTGCGTTTGTACATATTACTAATTATTATACAAGATTTGTATTAAAAATAAACATTTCCCTAATCACACTTTAATATTCAGTCTATGATACATGCATAAAATAAGATTCTTGTTTCATGCATGCAGGTTATTTTTTGTAGAAAGCTGATGCAGAAGACACTGTTGTTATATGACATGTATCAAAAAATGCGTCAAACTATGTCATAATATCTAACTAGTACATACACATCCATTCATCCGTATCTATGCCAGTTCGAACGAAGGCAAGGCTATTAATTATAATAATAATGGTAGACTTATATAGCAAACCATTCTAAGGCATTTATATAACATTATTATTACCCTGTTAATTGGATTCAAAAAATATACCTATGAAACACATACTCAGCTCCCTGGGGTGTGTCCCATAAAGTTTCAGCAGCTAATCAGCGCAGCAAAAGTTCAAAACCCTGACTTTGAGGTCATAATCCTGAACCTCAACCATTGCACCAACTGCCCCCACCGGCCCAACTATTAATTCCAGGCCTAGGAAATAGTGCCTTCATACAAGCATGGTTCCTCTACAGTGCTAATGGCTCTATAAAACAGTTTGTTAAATGATTCTTTTAATAATAACAAATCATCTTTCATTTTATATTATTTTTAATGACAAATATTGTTGTCATACCAAATTCAGAGGTGTTTTAACTTTGTTTAAAATATGTCCATAATGTGACATACATTTCCCAGGTATGCATGGTCTCAATAATTCAATAATTGTATGATAACTACACATTTACAAACAAAATAGTTATTCTGTATTTTAGGAATCACTTCTTTAAAAAGAGAAAGTTTTGATCTAACAAATAACAAAAAAAAAACAAAAAAAAAAACACTGATGCAGGGCAAAAGACAAGCATTTGAAAAATACAATTATTCTTTTTATTTGGCCTTCAATAATTCATTTATCACAAGAGCAATTACAGCACAAAACTGAATGAGGTCTTGTTTTACGTACCAATAATTTTAATGGTCATCAGAGAATATTTATTGAATAACAAAAAAAACAATCAAATAATACATATATCACAGTAATAGAGACCAATACTATACCATAAGCATTATGATAATGTATAGTAGCACACAAAACAAATTATACAGCATACAAAATATAATCATTCAACTTGTTAGTTTCTCATTATTAACAAAACAAAAGTATGCAAAACATGTATAGATCATGCGCACATTTCCTGCCCTCCTAAAGGCATCGATTCCTGAAAGTGAACTAACATTTCAATTGCCTTGAATGAACAGTATATTCATAGTGTTAAACAAACATGCATTGAAAATGTATCTTCTGACAGACGGTTAATATGGTAGTAATTTTTTTTTAAATACGCCACATGGGGAGGGGGGAGGTGGGCATTTAGAAGCATGCATGTAAATTTAAGGTACTGTATACTAGCATGAAATTCTACTGAATTCATCTTTACGATAAACAATTTCTAATTGATTTTGACTTTAGCTAGGGAGTCAGAAAAGATTTTTAATTAAGTTAAGGAGCTTAAACTTCAGAACATTCCAATTTCTATTACTTTAAAGTAGAGTTTAGTATAAATATTTTGCAAGTATTAAGCAAGAGAAAATATAACTTTAAAAAGATGATTAGACGTACACTGGAAAAATTTGGAAAATGAATGACCAAAGTATGAATGTAAAATCTTTATTCATATTTATTTCTACTGTACCTATTACAATTAACAAAATAAAACAGGCCAAAACACTGGTGATGCTTTTTTTAATAAATATGAGTGACTGTATAATGTTAGAGCCACCGATTACAGGTGCATTTTTCAGCTGTGAAACTGACATTTTCTTAAAACTTTACAACAAATCCATCCATTGTGGATACAATTATCCTCTTCAAAAATGATAGATAAAATGTATCATGAAAGAATGAATGCTAAGTAAATTGTGGGTTTAATAGCACCAACAAAATTTGACCTGTTTTGTATATTTGAATTATAGGATTACCAGATAATTTTCACAGTGAGGAAAATTAAGATGGTGGTAAGGCCGAGGGAAAAAATCTTGCTTAAAGTAATTTCTTTTTTAATTACTTGAGTAAAAATGGGTTTTCTTTTTTCTTAAAAGGTTTAATTAAGAATGTATTTATCAATCTAAAGAATATAAACCTACAATAACACATTTATTGTAAAATTTCTTATTTATCTATTTGGAAAATATCTTTATTATGATTAACTGTAAAATGACTATTATTTTTATAAAGTATTATTATTGTAAATAAATTATAAAAGGTGATATTTAGTAGGAAATGTAAACACATATCAAGCTTCATTCCCATATAATACTATACAACTGAAGTTATTGTTTTAGTAGGTCTGTGCATGCACTCATTCATGTTGTTAGATGTACCTTATTTAAGCTCTGTCCAAACTAGAATGCCAAACGGGCAAGTTATAGATACGCTGTCGCATATTTCATAGTGTGGACGAAGTTTTAAATGGCTGTCTTTATTTCTGATGCCAGACTAAATATCACCAAAATACTAGAGTGCTTTCTAAATATGGATTTGTATCAGAGTACCCACTAAATTGTTTGTACGCTTCCACAAGAGCGCCGAGAAGTCAGTACCAGCAAGAGTAGCATCATTAGTACATACAGACAATTTTCAATGCAATTTTATTTTTCATGAGGAAAGTCAAGAAATCTTGTTTGCTGAAATGTCAAATTTTAAAGTCAAGTTCCAATTTTAAGTACAGTATTTAAATTCTGATGAATTGGGCTTTTGGAATACAGTTGAACTTGCCTAAGTCAAATCCACAATGACATTGAAAAATTGTTTCGACTTGCATAAAATTTGACATACAGATGGTTAATAAATGGAAAACACAACAATTAGCCATGTAAAATAAGATTGACTTAGAACTTATTCGAGTTAGGCAAAGTTGACTTAAACAACTTTACCTGTACTCATATTCTACAGAGTGTGGGTGATCAAATACTTTTGAGTTCGCACTCTAGTCTTGTGCCTACAAGTAATTTAGTTGTTTAAAAGTAATTCCATGCAAAAAACAAGAAAATGTATTGGTCCAAAACGGTGAATTTGACTAGGTTTGACTATTCCCGACTAGGCCAGATGAAGAGGGTCAAGTATTATATATCTGTATAGTATACCCGAAGTCTCAAGTTCTTCAAATTCTAATTTGGGCAAATATTACTTATAATACATCTTTAATGATGGAAATTTGTATTAAAAAATAGGATTCTGATATCACTTTTCAAAAATGTGTAATGGAATTCTTGACCACAATAGGAAAGAATGGTTTTTACCATATAAGCACATTGTAACAGTGGAAATGATCCTAAAAAGATGATATTGTATTGACATCAATGATTTTTTTGAGTTACTATATCACTGGGTTTTTTAAGATTAGCAGCCTAATGTCCACAGCTGGTTTGAGCCAATATTATAAAAAGACTTTATCAATAACCAATGTGACTATATAAAGTGTATCATTATTACTGGTATTATTAATATTGGTTAATTTTTTTAAAAACAGCAATCTTTGAAGTGATAGCAGCTTATAATCAATCAATTAATTGGCATTTTTCGTATTTCTATTTCAAATAGTTTATATTTGCTGATAAGAAATAAATAGTGCCTTGTATGTGTGTGACAATTATATATAAACAAGTATACAGTATTTGGTTTTAATGAATTTGTAATTAAGTAGACATATGGGATAATTTTTTTCAATTAAAACATGATCAGATGTAAGATGATGCTTTATTAATACATGAGACCGCCCTAGTAAAATACAGTAAATATTTTGTAAAAATATTTTCATTTTTTTTTACCAGGAATTATTTAGGATTCATTGTAAGATTAATACAAAATTAATACAAGACATGCATGAATTGAGTTAAAATTGTTTAACTTTTCTTTCTACTGATATACCTATGAACAAAGTGTACAAGGAGATAATAAAGGGGAAACTAATAAAATAAACGTTACCTTCGGTTTTATTGTTTCACCACTGGTCTTGATCTTAAAAAAGTAAAGATTTAGGAATAATTTACACATGTGTATCATCTTTAAAAAACTTATGATGTGCAATAATAGAGCACCCAAGCATATTACATCATTGTTACCGCAATGCATTATCGGTGAAGAAGGAATCAGCCGCGCATCAATGCAAGAATTTATTTAATACTCACTCATATCCTGACTCATCCTGGTTTTTATCAATGAATTACTTCTTTCTCTAATGCATAGTTGTTAAAAGCCCTGTCACACCTTGACGATTTAGCCAGCGTATGCCGACGTATGGAAAATTTGGCGAATATACTGGTGTACGTCAAATAATTTATGGGTAAATTTTGTATACAGTGTGTAAAGAGTATGCTGAAGCACGCTGGTGTACGTCATAGTATGGTGCCAGCACATAGCTCATATGTCCCGCATACGCCATAAGTTGTACTGTAGGTAAGTTATGTGATCGTTCACACATTAATGTCGTGTGTTGTGACGACACGACTGTAGTACTCTATAGCCTAGGTATAAACTCGAATGATGTTCATATATTGAAAGAAGGACAGCCTAAATTACCTAGGCCTAATCAGTGGATTTATTATTTTACAATCTCAAAATTTTTAATGGCTGTCCAGTTATTTTACTGTTAAAATTGATGGCTAAAACAACTGCGGGAGAACACTGCAGTTTAGTTATTTAGCATACTTAAAGCCCAGGTCCAAACTATCGAATCTGATTTGACTTTAAAAACATGTAGCAAGACTAAATATAGTCATGATGATATCACATCATGACCATATATGGGCATACAATAGTTGTTTTTCAAAGACAATCTGATAGTGTGGGAAGGACTTTTCTTTACAAAGATTTACTCTGGCATTCTTTACAAATTGAACAAGACTATAAAAAAAAAAAAAAAACATAAGTATGTATTCAAAACAACAGTCATAGAATATAACAACAATCAGGACTCCATAGCAACACTTCAAACCAGACAACAAAAACAGTAATTAAAAGAAAGAGCAAAATAATTATATTAATTGCAAAAACATTGATAAAACGGGCACCTTGTCGAACTGTAGCAACAATTTGTTCTCATGTTACCATGCTCCTAATGATTTTAATGGCTGTAGACTAATTTGATTTTTTATTTCATTTCTGTCATTATCCCAATTTAGAATTCGGAATTAGATATTGCAGGTAGGTGGCAGTACCATGTCCCCAGTCTCGCCTAACTATCATGTGAGGTTTAATCAAGGAGTCGAGTAAAAAAATCCAACATCTGGATTTGAACCGTGGTCTTCAGAAGATTGAAGCAAAAACATTATGCTCAGCTCCAAAAACAAGAGTGGATCCAGGATGATTCTAACAGACAGGGGTGATGGGGGTGGTAAGGGATCATGCAACCTCAATCGAAGAGCACAGTCTGAGAGAGATAGTTTGGCAGGGGTCTTCTTATGTTTTCACATTTCGTTAGTGGATTTCGTTTTGCTGCTGCAGTTGGGGAAGGAGGTGTTTCTTTTACCACCCTTGGATCTAGCATTGAAAAAAGCCATACAGGCTTAATATCCACAGCATACAGGCCTTCTGGCAATAA